TTCAGTCTCACTACAGCCTACTATCATCGTGGAAACGGTACACAATGACAACGATATTCTCGAAAAGACCATCATAATCTCACTATAAACAACTTCTGTCGTGAATGTACTTTATATTTCATTTACATATGTTGTAAGTTTCTTTTTTTAACGTGAGCATGTCTTGTTAGTCTGACTCGCCCTCACCAATACTTGTGATTTCCCAGCCTCCATACAGCACAATGGAGCACTAACTTCTAGAAAGACGGAAGGGTGCCAACAATACGTTTATCATAATCGACATCATCATCATCATCATCACTTTCATCATCATCATCATCATCATCAAGTGTCTTGCCGACTGACAAGGGCGATAGTGCCTCTCCACAATCTGCGATCTTCCACAGTTCGTGTGTAATATCCCTCCACGAAGTAACAAAAAGATGACAAGAATTTTCTGGCTTTGTCTTTCTTTGTCTCTCTTTCCAAAGACTTTTCCAGTGGTCACAACATGTTCCAGATTCCGTTTTCTCATAACATGACCAAAGAAATGACGACTGTTTCTTAGTGATGTGCAACAATAGTTTATAATCTGTTTGCACTTTGGGTATTCCCAAGTGTGTTCAATTCTCCAATGCAACAACTAGTTCAAATACCTCGATCGATTGATCCCATGAGAAGCTAGTTGTAGTATCTCCCATTTTGACACCGAAGATGACAGAGTCGTTCTTCACCAAGCTAAACTCTCAGATCACGAAACCGTGCTAGCGTTAGAGATTCGGCATGATCCCCAACTTAGTCCGTATCGCGACAGAAGCTTTTCCTTGGGTATGAAAGTGAATTAGGTTGGGGAGCTCGGGGGACAGTTTCTTTCATGCAGGCCGTGATGAGAGCGACGTTCTGCCAAGGTTTTGCTCCATAATGATGATTTTTATTCAACTCTACCTCTTATACATTTGTAGGAGCTGAACCCCACCCCCATCATCATGTTTTTTTTTTTCCTGCACACTTCAGGTTGGGAATCTGGGACACAATGAGTTAACAAACGGTTTTCAGGTCCCAATCAATACGAATAAAAAATTGTACGAAGAAAACTAATCGATCAACAATGGAAGGCCTGCTGTAATAATTGCGGATTTCAGCTGCTGGATGTACGGGGACTGCGCCTAAGTCTTTTCAATCTCTCTCCGTGTAAGATTCCTCATTATTGTTACATCGTTCAGGAGGCTGCATAGATATTGTATTCTTTAATGCCTCGGCTTGACATGTTTATCGCCTCTTGAAATCCCTGCTGGGTTTTCATTGCATCGCTTAAATTAATAAAAACCACTTTATAATACTTTATTGTATTTTTGCGGGTCTCGGGTCTGCATCTGTGTTGTGGTTGAGTTTAACTGTGAAGTAAACAGTAAATAATGTTATGTCTAATGTCACCAGTAATAATATATAATTTATCATCATGCGCTGTTTTGTAGTTATTAGAAACTTTAGATTAATTCGATGTTGTGATAAGATAAGTCAAGTGATTCTAAGTGTTTTGTGTTCTAATAGAACCTCTACTGATTTGTATCATATATTTGGACAATCATGCAGGTCCATGTGCTGACATGTAGATTGTATGATTGAAATGTCAGAAATGAATCATTCCATGTGCTAACATGTAGATTGTATGATTATATCATTCCATATGCTGACATGTGGATATATGATTGTATCATTCCATGTGCTGACATGTGGATATATGATTGTATCATTCCATGTGCTGACATGTGTATTGTATTATTCCATGTGTTGACATGTGGATTATATCATTGTATCATTACATATGCTGACATGTGGATTATATCATCATTCCATGTGCTGACATGTGGATTATATGATTGTATCATTCCATGTGCTGACATGTGGATTATATCATTGTATCATTCCATGTGCTGGTATAAGGATTATATGATTGTATCATTCCATGTGCTGACATGTGGATTATATGATTATATCATTCTATTAACATAGATTATATGATTGTATCATTCCATGTGCTGACATGTGGATTATATGATTGTATCATTCCATGAGCTGACATGTGGATTATATGATTGTATCATTCCATGTGCTGACATGTAGATTATATCATTCCATGTGCTGACATGTGGATTATATGATTGTATCATTCCATGTGCTGACATGTGGATTATATGATTGTATCATTCCATGTGCTGACATGTGGATTCACCTCATTTCACTGGGTATTATCCCATATAGAGGAATAGACTTGCGAAACCTAGGTAACATAAAATGGCACAGCAGGACACTTAAATGTATATAGTTTGCACCATTCCATATGCAAATGTTCTATTATGCTCACGGAAGCTATGGAAATCACAACCCATGGTGATGGTGAGTGGGACAAGCAAAACTCCAATTTTTAGAAACATCTTGCACAGCAAATTGGAATTTCATGACTATTGTTGCCAACACATGTATTTGACAGTTTTGTTTCTCAAACTTTTGGTTCTTAACCTGTCTGACCTACTGGTCTCCTTTGGTCGCATTCCACCATACAACTTCCTGTTTACCTGAAAGGACTGTCTTAGCTACGTCAGTAATAAAAACTAAAGAAATAAAATGGGTGTTATTACAGTGATTGATTTATCAGAAACAACTCTCCAGCCACATATATAAGATTTTCTAAGTAGCAACATCAGGCGCATTAGCTGAAAATTGCAATTTTGAATTGCATAAATTGCTACCTAAATTTGTTTTCATTGTTTTATGTATTCGTTGATTAGCTGTCGGGAAAAGAATTTCCACTGTATTGGTCGGCCGTGCTTGAAAACACATTGAACAACACTGCCACAGAGGATATCCTTAGGGATTCTGTCATCCTACATATTCTTTGTCCTAGCCTTTGAAGACTGAGCTTCGAAAAAACTCTTATGGAAGCTATTTAGCCGTTTCTCCTATGGCATGAAAACTTACCAGGTTTCAGTTCAATACAGTATGCAGAAGATTGCTCAGGGCACAGTCTTGATAAACAGTGGTTTTGTTTTAAGCTTTAGCTTTCTGTTCTCCTAAATTCTTTTTGTAAATCTGCTCACTGATGTTGTTTGACTGATCTATCAATAGACTTCTTGGTCCAGTGATCATTTGTTATTTCCTGAGGACACCGGGTATGTGAAACTATCAACTGTCTTTAGCTTTTCACATTCAGTGACAATTGCTGGTCTGTCAATAGCACATTGCATCATAATCTTTGTCTTTTTGTTGTTGCTTATTGTTAGTTCAGATTCACATCAGGCATCAGTGAATGTATATAGCAAATGTTGCATTTTATCCTCTGAGCATGTTGTATTTGCAGCACCATCTGCACAAAAGCAACTCTCCTAATCCTGCCTTCCTAATCTTGTACTGCTTTCAGTCAGTGAGCATTGCAGATGATGCCAATGACCTATATAACATAGAACATAATTTATTACAGGATTACTAACATCAAGGTCAAGATTCCCTCCAAGATGTGCTTTGTGGTGAAAGTCTTGCTGGAACACCAAGCTGATATTTGTATATAAGGATCAGTTACTGCAGAACAAGTTTTGTGGGACAGCCGTAGCGGCGCCATGAGTGGGCCCAGCCTCAAAGTACCGGATCATTTACCACTTGGAAAGTTCAAGACATCCAGAGACAAGAGGAGGAGCTCAAAGCAAGGACTCAGGTAGTATTAAATGTTATACTTTGTTGGTTACAAACATGGAACTACCTGATAGTGCATCATAGACATAATGGAAGTGGAACTAGAGGTTGACCATGCAAATGATGGATAGATGGAATAACTGAGGCTGTAAATACCAGCACCTGTGTTAGCACATATGAAGGCTTGATGCCTTTTCAAAACCTGACACTGAAAGGCAGAACAGGAAAAAAGAAGAAGAATATGGAATTCTTCTTATTCTTCTGTTCATCATATGGAATTCTTCTTATTCTTCTGTGTTCATCATATGGAATTCTTAATTGTTTAGTTTCAAAATGAAGTTACAAATGTAATTTCAGTTTTACCATATGCAGTTGGGGGAACACTAAAGACATGAAGAAGAGTTACATTAATTTTTCCTTCTGCTGCTGTTGCCTTGAAAAAGATGGTTGGTACATTGTTTGATGACAAGTGCTTACAGAAGTGGGTGAACATTATTGTGATGAATTCATGACAGGTAGAGAAATAAAAGAAATGTGTGAACAACCACTTGTATCAAAAGTTGTAAGAAAAAGAGGATGACAGAAATTTCATGAGGAGAGGCAGAGTCAGACCACTAGACAGGCACTAAAATGGGAAATAAATGGATTGAGGAAAAGTGGCTATCCAAGAGAAATCCTGAGATAAATATTGTTGAAGAAGGCCAAACTGCAGGGCAGGATTCCATGAATTATACCAAAAGGATTGCATATGATAGAGCAAAATGGAGGCTTGACTGGGAGCCTATGTGACATGAAGAATATGAAAATGATGACGATTTAATTGTTTGTTATGACTTCACTGGAAGACTTTATATAACTCTTATCTTCCCCATGTGTGTTCCAGAAGCCCCATTGTGAGGGAATAGACCCACAGTCTCCCTTGGCTTCCAGGGGCCCCATTGTGAGGGAATAGACCCACAGTCTCCCTTGTGTTCCCTGGGGCTCCATTGTAAGGGAGAAGACCCACAGTCTCCCTTGTGTTCCAGTCTCCCTTGTGTGGGAGTAGATTTGCCTGAGAAGTGAGAAATCAGCAGTCTTCAACATCTTGCCTGCCACCTTTACTTCCCAGGACTTTATCTGGTACCCGCTTCAGACCTGGTCGACCTGAGAGCCAAGGTCACTTTAAAAAAAAGTTGCTTCTGTGCAAATGGGAACCATCAATCTTCAGGCTCACAGGTGATCCCTTTGCTACTACACCATGGCGTTTCTCAATTTTGCTATGAACTAAGATATTTTTGGTCATTTGTGAACTTTTATTTGTTATTTAAATTGTTTAAATTTTTTTTTTTATTTAGCGAGGATGATCTAGCGGATTTCCCCTGCATTACCACCTGGTTATCGGAGCTCCGTTGGATCACTGAACTTGAATGCATGAGTATACTTCAGGGAAAGCCACTGAGCCCCAGTGCTGGCCAGGACTCTCTATCATCCCAGGTCCAGACGTACAGAGGTAAACAAAAACAAAAAACAGGTTTTAACATGTCATTTCTTTTATTCAGTTCACAGTCATACTGTAACTGACTCTTAGAATTGGAATTCTGAGCTGGCAGCAAAAGATGGCAACAGATCACTTATTAAAATGTCCCGAGTGCTGTAATGACGGTTCTAAAATGGGTACCAGGTAAAGTCCTGGGAAGAAAAGATGGCCAGCATGGTGTTGGTTGGTCTATAAACATAAGGGTCTAGCAACATATGCCTGATTAGCCTTACTGGTCAGAAAAATAATTCTGTCTCTGCTTGGGATTAAATTTGGACCATTGTCTTAGTGGGCCAGTGTAGTAACCACTTGGGATTGAATCTGGACCATTGTCTTAGTGGGCCAGTATAGTAACCGCTTGGGATTGAATCTGGACCATTGTCTTAGTGGGCCAGTGTAGTAACCACTTGTGATTGAATGTGGACCATTGTCTTAGTGGGCCAGTGTAGTAACCACTTGAGATTGAATCTGGACCATAGTCTTAGTGGGCCAGTGTAGTAACCATTTGGGATTGAATCTGGACCATTGTCTTAGTGGGCCAGTGTAGTAACCACTTGGGGATTGAATCTGGACCATTGTCTCAGTGGGCCAGTGTAGTAACCACCATCTTCTTCAGATCATTTTTTTGGCTAGCCACGGTGAAGAAAGCATAGTGGTTTTGAATGTCTGCATTGCTTATGTGGTTTCTAGGGCCTCATTCCGGGAAAAAAAGGGGGGGGGGGGATAGACCCATTACATTCCTAGCAAGAGTGAACAAACTTTATTTCCAAAGGATTAAGAAGTAGGCACACATTCTGCCTTTCTGGCCTCACTCTGTGCATACATTTTTGCATTCATACTAATTTTAGCAGATAATATTGTCATAGAAAGTGACCATCAGAAGTGTGTCTTTCAGAATCTAAGGTCACCTGTGTAATGATATAATTTTTTAAAGAGTACTGTTAGAGGTCAGAATAATCCCCAGTTTACATAAATAATGGGTAGGAGGTAAATCTTAAATGACCGTTGGCTAAAATGAGAAAACCCCGGCATAAAATAGTATATGGCTGTTTGTAGACTAGGAGAGGTCCATGGGTTACGATTGGTCTGAGAAATAGTCTTAGATGAGAATTATGTGAGAAAGTGAGCGATATTAAAGAAATGTGTAAACTGGATGGAAATATATGTGGGCAGAAAAGACTGGAGATCTTTTTGAGTGTGGCGCTTGCATGGGATCTGAATGATAAATCTTGATCTACAAATGAATTCAGCGAGGGACTGTGGTTTTGAAAGTGATTTAGCTTGGCAGTTTAAACCTGGCTATGTATTTTTTCTTTACTGCAAGCTACTGCAGTGTGTAGTCTGTGTTGATTTGAGGATGTGTGTTTTTCAGGACACATTTACTTAGTAGAATGCAGTGTGGTTAGTTACTGTGTTGGCATGAACATCTGCATCAGCTTCTTCATAGCCAGTGGGACATAGTAGATCTCGTTCCAATATAGTGTAGCTTAGCAATATCACAGTCTCGTCAGATAGGTGAGGGATTAAGCCTGCATACAAATAAGGCAGATCTATTAAGCGGGCGTGCACGCAACTGTCCTGTTCTGGGACAAGAAGTAATCATAGAAATGGATGAACACCCAGAACATTCTTGAAAAGTTTAGAGCCGTTGAATGCTAAGAAGAGAAGGAGACATGGTCATCTTCATATTTATGTATAATTTTGTGGATTTTTTCTGTGTTGGCATCTTTTCATCTTTCCAGACAATAGTACTTCACTTTGCTAAAGGAAAGCTTGAGAAAGCCCATGGCAACACCACACAGAAGTGGAGTTCCTCCTGTCCTTAGCACAAAGTTTACACACTGTTATTACCTATGCAGCGTGATCCCTCCCTCAGCCAGCCTTGTTAACTTTGTTGACTTGCTCAAGTTTTTTTTTTTTTTGCAGATGCTATAGACAGAGTAAAATATGAGGCCAACAAAATTACTGAAGGATTTGATACCTTATTCAAGTGAGTGAATATATTTTGAGCTTATTTCTAGAGTTGGTGCCGTGTGTGTATGGTAATCATGTTTGTCCACAACTGTTTCTCACATGTAATGACAATAATTTCTGCATTTAATTCTCACCTTGAACACGTTGAATTATATTTGGAAGCATACAAGAACATTGTGGTTCAGACTCTAGTTAAGCCACACACACAACAGAACGGAGGACAGAAGACTGGAGAAGTAACATGATCCGAGACTATAACATAATGTTTCTGACCAACTAGATGTATGTCAATGTTTTTCAACCAACGGTCTGCGGCCCATCAGTATTCTGATCCTGGTAGTCGTCCACAAATTTAAGTCTAATCATTTAGTGGCTAAATAATTTTGGCACTACTTTCCTGAATTAATTTTCTGACCAACTAGATGATGTATGTCAGGTCAGTGTTTTCAACTGATGGTCTGTGGCGCTCAGTATTCGGCTGAAATGTCCTGGAGTCAGCCACAAATTTATGTCTAATCATTTAGTGGCTACATAATTTTGGCACTACTTTCCTGAAATCATTTTCTGACCAACTAGATGATGTATGTCAGTGTTTTTCAACCGATGGTCTGCGGCCCATCAGTACTCCATGGAAATGTCCTGGTAGTCTGCCACAAATTTCTGTCTAATCATTTAGTGACTACATAATTTGGCACTACATTGCTGAATTCATTTTCTGACCTCTAAGTAGCTACAAATGTTGCATGAGCTGAAAATTGTAATCTTTGATTTAAAAAAAAAGGTCTACATTTGTTCAACTGTCATCAGGTGGTCCATGACACAATGTTTCTTGTAGTGCCAGTCCATTGGTAGGTGGAAGCACACTGAGATTTGATGGGTGTCAAACCAGAACTGCTGTATGGATAAGAAACATCAAGAAAAGACCACAACAAAAACTGCAAATAGATCATAAAGGATTAATTGGTCAATGCGAAATATAACAACATAAGAAAGAGACAGCCTCCTCATGTGGTGAGAAAATAGGCATTGGTGTCAACTCGAAACCGCAATAGTAGAAAAGGCAAACTCAGAAAAATTGATTTAGATCATCTAAGAAGATGACATAGACAGATATCAATAGATTTAATCCACATAATGTGTTCTCTTAATAGATGTTCTGACAATGAGTGAAATATAGAAGAACTAGACAAATTACAAAGATGAACTTCTTTCTTTAATAATTAAGTTTTTATTTCCTCTGATCAATGTCGATGATATTCTACTAGGTGTTTTGACTCCAACAAATGGACTGCGCTGAACCACCAGACAATGGATATGACCTGCAACATACGGAAGCTGATCCAGCTGTGTAATTCTCATGTTTCAGATGTACCCGCATATATTCGGGAGGTCAGTGCCATGAAGTGTGCTGCAGAAATACCTGTTTTGTCTGTGATAACAAAAGAGTGAACACGCAGGTCTATCTTACATTCAGCTCTTCCAGACATTCATCTTTCACACATCAAATATATAAGAAGATCTTTTTTTGTTTGTTACTTCATGGTCTATGCTTTACTGTTTGTGCTGTAGCTGTGCGTGTCCAGACAAACCTCGGAATTATATGTATTTTAAGAAGTCCACCAATATGTCTGTATATATTTAGAGAGCGGCATGTCTATGTGTACACATGTGAGTATCATTTGTCATTGTAAGTGTGCATTGGAGTCACTGACATGCATAAAACTTAAGAAATTGTTGCAAAGTCTCACCTTCCTTTCTCATCTCCAGCGAGTCACTGACATGCATAAAACTTAAGAAATTGTTGCAAAGTCTCACCTTCCTTTCCCATCTCCAGCGAGTCACTGACATGCATAAAACTTAAGAAATTGTTGCAAAGTCTCGCCTTCCTTTCCCATCTCCAGCGAGTCACTGACATGCATAAAACTTAAGAAATTGTTGCAAAGTCTCACCTTCCTTTCCCATCTCCAGCGAGTCACTGACATGCATAAAACTTAAGAAATTGTTGCAAAGTCTCACCTTCCTTTCCCATCTCCAGCGAGTCACTGACATGCATAAAACTTAAGAAATTGTTGCAAAGTCTCACCTTCCTTTCCCATCTCCAGCGAGTCACTGACATGCATAAAACTTAAGAAATTGTTGCAAAGTCTCACCTTCCTTTCCCATCTCCAGCGAGTCACTGACATGCATAAAACTTAAGAAATTGTTGCAAAGTCTCGCCTTCCTTTCCCATCTCCAGCGAGTCACTGACATGCATAAAACTTAAGAAATTGTTGCAAAGTCTCACCTTCCTTTCCCATCTCCAGCGAGTCACTGACATGCATAAAACTTAAGAAATTGTTGCAAAGTCTCGCCTTCCTTTCCCATCTCCAGCGAGTCACTGACATGCATAAAACTTAAGAAATTGTTGCAAAGTCTCACCTTCCTTTCCCATCTCCAGCGAGTCACTGACATGCATAAAACTTAAGAAATTGTTGCAAAGTCTCACCTTCCTTTCCCATCTCCAGCATTCCAGTTTCTATGAAAGCTGTTTAAGTGTCTACCTGCCTGACATTTGTCATCTGGCAGCATGTCCTTCAAGGGAGAGAATTCCTCTGCTCAAGTTTATCTGCCCCTAATTAATTGACACATGCCTCCATAATAATTGGTGCCACAATGTCTGCACTCACAGAGTTATCTAGGATATTTCACACTTTACCTGTGCACAGTCATTGTCCTGATGTTTGAGATCAGCAGGAAATTATATGGTTTTGTTCTGGTTCAACAAGCCATGGTATTCATACTTAAGTAGTTGCCGTGAAGCAACTCTTTTTCTTAAAATACTTATTGAAGTTAATGGGGGGGGGGGGGGGGGGGGGGGGGCGTGATCTGAAGTTCAGAGACATGTCATCACCAGAACCCACCAACCCCTTGTCTAGTGCTGGCTAGTCGAGGTATTGTCTGAAATTATGACCTAGTACAGCGGTTCTCAGCCTGTGGGTTTTAACCCCTTTAAAAGTCAAACGACCCTTTCACAGGGGTAGCCTAAGACCATCGGAAAACACATATTCACTGAAGTTGTGAAGTAGCAACGAAAACAGTTTTTATGGTTGGAGGAGGGTCAACAGCACATGAGGAACTGTGTTAAAGACTCGCGGCATTAGGTAGGTTGAGAACCACTGACCAAGTACATCCTGATATGCGTGTTTCCAGATGTAAAGCATTTGCACTGGTCTTGCACGCCCTGCAGGTTTCCAAGCTTGCAGAGGGTAAGAAGTTCTCTGCAACACATTTCGCATGGAGATGGTACTTTGGTACTGAGTCGAAGCAAAATTCTCCGACCTCACTCAGATAAATACTAGAGCTTTCCCTGGCTTGGGTTACCTAACTACCAGTGTATCCAGCTTTGAGCTAACACAGTCTTCCAGGGAATTGGCGACCAGCTAATATCTTCTTCTGTGTTTGCCATTAAAAGGGTTGTTAGCACATTATGTTGTGGTTTATAACTAGGCTGTGATGTCTTTCACCTTTTAGCCCAACACATCCATAATGAGTTACCTTTCACAACATGCCTGTTGAGGGTTAGGAAGTCCATTCATTGTCCTTCCAAAACAGGGCCACCAAGTCCACATATAGGAAATCACCCAACCAGCATAAAATGTACCACTTCTAGCTTTTCTTTCTGGGTGAGTTCAAGACTGGAACTTTTCTGGACCATCCATATCTTAATAGACTGGTTAATTAAAGATACTAAGGGCATGAAAGGTGACTAGGCGGGAAAGTTGGAGATGGTTAATTAAAGATACTGTGGGCATGAAAGTTGGCTTGGGAAGTTTGGTGACTTTAGAAAGGATACTCTAGTCTGTGAACTTGACCTGGCAGGAAGTTGGAGTCTGGTTAATTACGGATACTCTGTGCGGAAAAGTTGGAGACTGGTTACTTAAGGATATTCTGGGTGTGAATGTTGGGGTCTGGTTTAAAATTATTGTTTAAAAAAAACCATGACTCTTCATAAATTTATTTACTTGTAAAGTCTTTTTTTAACACGGCAGTTAGAATGTTGCCTCGTTCTTTTGCAGCAACAAGAGGTTGTCATGGGAGAATCTGCTAAACTTGTTCAACAAACCACAAGGTAATTTGCAGTCTTTGTGTCTTCCTTTACCTCTTTTCTCCATGCTCTTGTCAACTGGGAGCCACGGTAGGGTTGATGCTTACCTGCTGGCCTGAAAGTCTTAGGTTTAAATCCTCCTAGCAATCCTCCACAACGTTTATTTTATAAACAAGTTAGGCATACAATGATACCTTGGTGTTTGTCCTTAATCTGTCCCAGATCTTGGACTTATACTGAACAGGACATATACCAGATGCATTTTTCCATAAGAAATGAAGAGAGAATAATTAATCTGTTCCCGTGAAAAAGTTCCTGTTGTTTTTGGCTTTTTATACATTGGGGGGGGGGGGGGGGGGGGGGGGGTTGTATAAAAATAGTGTAAACACTGCTTATACTTAAATAAGTAAATACAATAGCAATTAGATGATATAATACAATTTAACCTCATCGTACCTTGCTGAGATAGTGGAAGGAGGAGGAAATGTTATTGTTTGGAAGGGGAATCCCCTTCAAGCAAAACTTTAAGAATTTGAAATGTTTTGTTTTTTTCCCATTTACCCTACTTAGACTCATTTCACCTCATACATATTCTAGCACATGAGTCGTACACCAAGCAAAATATTTTGCATCTGGAAGGTGTGAACAGGACATATATACCAAGTTGGACGTATATGGAGGTGCCACTGCACCTGAAAGTGTTAGTCCATATTTCTGTTTTAGTTAAATCTTCTATTTCCTATTCTTATTCTTTTATTTTAGTGCTGCAGAACACAATCTGGTGCATCGAGTGCCCCTGGTCAACCAGCTGACATTTCTCGGACAGTCCTTCAGTCGACTTGTGGACTCAACCTTGGGCTATCTGGTGCAGGTAGCTCTTGCTATATGATTTTTTTTCTTGCTTTAATTTTGGTGTGTTTTTTAGCCTCTGATTTGCATATGTATTGTCCCATAATTACTACAGCTTTTAGAGTGGAATGTTAGCTCTTCATATATTCTCAGGCAGTTATAAAAATTATTCACTACCTGTTTTAGCGCTACGTAAATGTCTGTGGCTTAGGCGTTGCGAACACACCGGGTTCAATCCCAGCTGTGGATAATGTGTCTTGCATTGGTGTCAACAGTGGTACGGAGAGTTTACCATTCAGAAGCAGTGGCAAACTACTGGATGTAGCATTTGCCTAGAAAAATCTCAATAGCCAAAAAGTGCTGGGGTTGGTTTTGTAACTTCCTGTAAAGGGACACAATTAACTTTAACCTGTTCACCCTGGAAAACCCGGTTGGGGGGGGGGGGGGGGGGCAGAGGGGCAAAACAAATGAATTTCAGAGGGAAAATTCTTTAAAAACAACCATTTTGCACAGGTTGCTAATAATTTTTTTGTTTTTACAAATTTATTGGTATGCATGTTTACATTTCTTTTAAAAATAAATAAAGGAAGAGGATTAATCTATAAACATTTGCGGAGAGGAGAATTAATTAATTAGCTTTCCTCGGATCTAAGCAAAAATGTATATGACTCGTTTTACTATGGCACCCTTGCTAAATGACTTCTGTAGGCAAATTATGACATAATGACTAGGGGAGACATTGTTTCCACAATGAACACCACCCCCCCCCCCCCCAAATACATTGCTATTTTTAGTTAAAATAATCACATCCAGTCCTCATAAACACTGCACAGGCACACACAATACCAGAGCTGATGTGTAAGCATAGCGGGATCTGGTCAAAGCCATACTGCTCAAATATCAGCTCCATCTCGGGGCCAAAGGGTTAAAGAATGGGAATCATTTGAGAGCTGTACCGGTTGATAAAATGCTGCCACTACTAGAAATTGAACCAAGACCACTGCTTTAGGAAGCAAGTGCACTAATCAGTTTACTACTATTGTTCCTGTCTGACAAGTGCTTAGTAAATAGCGATTTGTGGATGCTTTTCTTTTCCAAAATAAAGAATTTGAAGATGGCTTCCATTTTTATGCGCTAATCCATCACTTAAGCCACCCAAGAAGTGCAAGACAAATGCGGAATACCACGACACTGGGCTACAACCTGGTATCAGTGAGATGACAAAAGAGAAAGAAAAAGATTTGAACGAAAATTTGTATAATTTTGTTAAAAAAAAAGTTTTATAATTGCATCCAAACTATTTGCTAACAAAACTGTCTGCATTGACCTCTGTTAAAGCAGTGCAGGACAGGAGGATCCAGAGCCTGATGATAAGGCCTCATGGCTAGTACAACATCATAAACAGGATTTTTATGTTGCTGCCCGTGATAGAAAAAATCTCTAACATTTATCGAGGATCAGATCTGGGTGTCTCCTACATGAGAGCCTTGCATTCTAACTACTTGGCCAGCAGTTTCTTGCTGTTTGCTTCGTTCATGAAAATCTGAACAGAAAACAAAACCAGCCAGATTTTAACAAGTTTAGACTGCTGGATAGAGAAAGGATTGAGAGAATCATACTATTATGACAATGACACCTTTTTTGAAATGCAGATCTGACAAGGAGAATCACCTGTGACTTAAGAAATGCTTCTTATTAGAAATTCCTTTTATCCAGATAAGAATTCTAGCAAGAACAATTGCCAGGGATAAACAAAGTGTTCTTTACAACAATTATTCGTCGCATCCGAGATTGCCTTAAGCCGTCTGCACTGTATTTGTGTGTGTAAATTAGGTTTTCTTTGTTATTGTTATTCTTTTCTCTGTTATCGTTACCTTTTGCTCTGTTATGGCTTTTCCTTAATGTGTTATTATTTTGTTCTGATGGGATTTGACAGAAACTTGTGGAAATGCTGGAGACTTCCACTGGGATGTCAGCGCTTCACGTTGTCATCAATAACGTCATCACTCTGGGACTGGAGGGAGAACACATGTGTTATCTCATTTCTCGGGTAAGAGTTCATGATTGTTCATTGTACATATTGCTGAATAGCAAGAAATTTATGGACATTGCTGAACATAAGGAAATATATGGACATTGCTGAATACCAAGAAATGTCTGGATATTGCTGAACAGCAAGAAAAATATATGGACATTGCTGAACAGCAAGAAAAATATGGACATTTCTGAACAGCAAGAAATATATGGACATTGCTGAACAGCAAGAAATATATGGACATTGCTGAACAGTAAGAAATAATGTGGAGATTGCTTGACAGCAAAAAATATATAAGCATTGCGCAGGAACATTAATTTGATTTAATTCAAGAACTGACATTACATCACTCGGGGCATCACTCCGTCCCCATCTTCAGCAGCGATGGTGCCAGTAGTACTAATGGTGCCAGTAGCATTCTGATTAAATGTCCTTCTTACCTCTCCTCTGAGCCCCAAGCATCTGTCAGAACCTTGCGTCACTCCCCACTGCATCAATCTCACCAGACTGGTGATCCATTTGCTCCTCCCAACTGTACACGCTCTCCCACAAGGCACTAACCACGTCTGCCTTATCATGTATCAGTACTTGACCAAGTTGTGCAGAGCCAGCCAGTGCACAGTAACAAGAAATATATAAGCATTTCTTGCAAAGCTGTAAGAAATATATGGACAATGATTTCAAGGAAGTGAGAAGTTTATTGAAAGTTGTGATGTCTCAATGACTGGCATTCTTACCTACTGGTGCAGTAACCAGAGATCAGATCCCTTCACAGAGTTTAAACATTGACCAAGATTACTAGTCTGCTTTGTTTAAATAAAAAGGGAACTAGAAAATTTGGGTTGCAGTAAATGTGACCAGCGGGATATTGACCATGTCAACAATTGAGTAATGTTTTCTTGGTGACAATCTCACATTTTGTATTGTCTTCAAGAAGTGACAATCTCACATTTTGTACTGTTTTCAGGGAGTGACAATCAAACATTTTGTACTGTCTTCAGGGAGTGACAATCTCATTTTGTACTGTCTTCAGGGAGTGACAATCAAACATTTTGTACTGTCTTCAGGGAGTGACAATCAAACATTTTGTACTGTCTTCAGGGAGTGACAATTTCATTTTGTACTGTCTTCAGTGAGTGACAATCAAACATTTTGTACTGTCTTCAGGGAGTGACAATCAAACATTTTGTACTGTCTTCAGGGAGTGACAATCTCACATTTTGTACTGTCTTCAGGGAGTGACAATCAAACATTTTGTACTGTCTTCAGGGAGTGACAATCTCACATTTTGTACTGTCTTCAGGGAGTGACAATCAAACATGTTGTACTGTCTTCAGGGAGTGACAATCAAACATTTTGTACTGTCTTCAGGGAGTGACAATCTCACATTTTGTACTGTCTTCAGGGAGTGACAATCAAACATGTTGTACTGTCTTCAGGGAGTGACAATCTCATTTTGTACTGTCTTCAGTGAGTGACAATCAAACATTTTGTACTGTCTTCAGGGAGTGACAATTTCATTTTGTACTGTCTTCAGTGAGTGACAATCAAACATTTTGTACTGTCTTCAAGGAGTGACAATCTCACATTTTGTACTGTCTTCAGTGAGTGACAATCTCACATTTTGTACTGTCTTCAGGGAGTGACAATCAAACATTTTGTACTGTCTTCAGTGAGTGACAATCTCACATTTTGTACTGTCTTCAGGGAGTGACAATCAAACATTTTGTACTGTCTTCAGGGAGTGACAATCAAACATTTTGTACTGTCTTCAGGGAGTGACAATCAAACATTTTGTACTGTCTTCAGGGAGTGACAATCTCATTTTGTACTGTCTTCAGAAAGTGACAATCAAAAATTTTGTACTGTCTTCAGAAAGTGACAATCAAACATTTTGTACTGTCTTCAGAAAGTGACAATGAAACATTTTGTACTGTCTTCAGAAAGTGGCAATCAAAAATTTTGTACTGTCTTCAAGAAGTGACAATCTCACATTTTGTACTGTCTTCAGGGAGTGACAATCAAACATTTTGTACTGTCTTCAGGTGAGTGACAATCAAACATTTTGTACTGTCTTCAGGGAGTGACAATCAAACATTTTGTACTGTCTTCAGTGAGTGACAATCTCACATTTTGTACTGTCTTCAGGGAGTGACAATCAAACATTTTGTACTGTCTTCAGGGAGTGACAATCAAACATTTTGTACTGTCTTCAGGGAGTGACAATCAAACATTTTGTACTGTCTTCAGAAAGTGTCAATCAAACATTTTGTACTGTCTTCAGAAAGTGACAATCAAACATTTTGTACTGTCTTCAGAAAGTGACAATCAAACATTTTGTACTGTCTTCAGAAAGTGACAATCAAACATTTTGTACTGTCTTCAGAAAGTGACAATCAAACATTTTGTACTGTCTTCAGAAAGTGACAATCAAACATTTTGTACTGTCTTCAGGGAGTGACAATCAAACATTTTGTACTGTCTTCAGGGAGTGACAGTCTTACTTTTTGTAGTCTTCTTTTTCTTAAATTTTACTTCTTTATGTTTTCAGGGTGATATGTACTTTGACTATGGACATATTGTAGTCATCCAGCATTGCCTTGGTCAGATACTATTTAACCAGTCAGTTTACACCCCAGAATATTCTTTTTAGCTCTAAATAATTCATTACTATCTTACTAGGCTTGGTGCAGCTTGGCCAGGGTGTTTCGGGGTGACCCAGGATGCTTTTCGTGGCTTTTTGTGAAGGTGAATCTTGGAGTGTAGATTAACAAACTGAAAAGAGCTAGGAATCACTGATGGTGTGGATGTGAAGAGAATGTGGACTACCAGGGTAATTATTGTTCGCCTGAAAGAGGCTGAAGAAAGTTAAATATTAGTGGCTGTAATAAAGAGGAAACAGTATATTTGTGACTATGTAAGGAAAAGAAAGCACACCGTGACAGCTGGAAATATCAGTGGTGGAAGAGTCACAAGAGGAGTGTTGCTGGGGGTATAAGATCAAAATATTGTTAAGAGAATTGAATTATAAAACCAAATGAGTAGGTTACACGACAGGACATGAAAATCTAATGAGGCACACAGTGATGGTTACAAATAAAAAATTGACCACTTCAATGTTTGCTCTTCAAGCTCTGGAGGGCAGTGAAAGTTGCAGAACTGACATAGCTAAGATAGTTCTAGATGCTGATCAGCTCATTACCTCATACAACATCAGAATAGTGATGTAGTGGATTCCAGGCCACTCCGGCACACCAGGTAATGACAAAGCTGACAGACTGGCAAAGAAAGGAGCAACACAAGAACCACCACCTACAGCGACAACCCTACAGACAGCAAGAATACTTATAAAAGCTATAAACAAAGAGACTTGGCTGAACAGATGGGCCATGGGAGATGCTTGAAGAGAGGTTTATAGACACATGGCTAGCCCTGATGCTAATGGCAGCATTAACCATTTAACGAGAAGGGACCAGGCCACCATCTTCAGACTCAGAACACAACATACTCCACTCAATGGACACCTAAACAGAATACAGCTACAACACTCCCCAGAGTGCCAGCTATGTAACTACCCCTACGAAACTGTTGACCATCATCTCTTTGAGTGCCCAAAACTCAACGAGACTAGAAGAATGCTACTCCCTCCGAGACCAGACAAGTGGAACACCTTGTACGGAGGAAAAGAACAGCTTGTGAAAACATGTAAATTCCACCTGGTTACCATTTTAGACTGAGTCCACTTAGAAGCCAAGGTCCATTTGGAGGACAATTTGATTTGTAGCAGATTTGAACCCAAGATCTTCAGGCTTTCTTGCTACCTTGACTCCCATAAGGATTGTGATTGTTGTTAAATATTTTCAGTTTTTCTTTTTTCTAATCATATATTATAGGAAGGAGGTGTGCGAGCCCTGCTAGATGTGTGTAGACGAGAAAATGTGGCATTTACTAGATCAAAGGCTTTGAGAGCCCTGGCCACCATCTGTTGTGCTCCTGAATGTGTTGCTGAGCTGGAAAAAGTAAGTCAGATACTTTTTTTGTCATAAACCTCCACCTTTGTTGTTCATTTTAATTGTCACAGCTTCCAGCAGTCCAGTCTATTCAGTATGTGGTAATTAGCTCAAGAAGCACATTGTCTATCAGTTACATGCTCAAAGTCAAGCTGTTTAGGCAATTTACTAAAATTGGCAGAAGCTGTGACAATTAAAATGAACAAACCTATGTTTTATAAACAGAAATAGTGTATGGTAAATTTTGAACTTCCATAGTCATCACATGGCTGTCTGAAACTTCCATTAGTGTGATTTCAATTGTAACTAGAGAAGGCAGTGTGTGATTTGTGTTTTTCAGTGGAAAGTATTCATTGTTGAATGCTTAATTATAATTATATGTTGATTTAACTCTGTAGTAATGCAGCTAATGAGTTACAGCAAAATATGCCAGCTATTGTTTGAATACCATTATTTTAATTCATAACAGGAAAGCATTGTTTTGAAAATACTTGTAATATTACTATAGTAGCCTTGGTGGCGCAGTGACTAGTATGCTTTCCTGCCAGCCTGTGGTCTGGGGATTAATTTGCATTCAGATTGTAGAAAAAATTTATCTGGGCTCATAGTTCAATCTGAGCACCAAGAAAATATTTTAGGAAGTAATGGCCATTGTGATGTTGGCCACATCACCTGCTAAATGCTTCATATTCTCTAGTCCTGTTCCACCTTTCAGCATCAGGTCTCAAAGAGGCATCAGGTGTGAGCCATAGCATAAGCTATGTAGATGCTGCTATTTCTAGCTGTCACAGACCTATGGGTGACCTTGCTGGTCCGTGGCTCGTAACTAGGCCTATGACAGACAAACTAACCTTTAACACACACTGAACCCGAACGCACACAGAGCACACACGACAATCTTTATTGCAAGTACAGGTAATACATTAGACAGTTGACTTCCCGCTGTGTGGCCACCTATTGCCTGGACCCCCTGGCCGAACGAGCTTTACAATCGCCTCGCTCCCCAGTACGTTCCACAGGCAATCTCCTGGTGCACAAACCACACTGGCACGAGATACGCTCTTACCTATCGACACACTGACCAACCAAACTGTCACAGCCTCTGTCTAGTGCAGGGTCAGAGTGCCAAGGTTAGACATTCTCTCACAGAACATGTACCTAAACGATTTAACTGGTCAGAAGTAACTGGACACTATTTACTTATGGTGGCACAACACAATACATTGTACCAGTTAAATACACAGCACAAAAGACTATCCTGTTCTAACAGAACACTGTAAATAATCTATGCAGTCACTAAAAAAATATCCTAACTCTAATATACTATCACAGTCTCGCTACACATCTGCTCCGTCTGACCGTTGTACACCGAATGTCCTGTGTTCCTTTCACCTCGTGTCTCTTGACCCGTTCACCTGCTCAGTTCCCAAAGGGGTAATCGTGTTGCGAACTTGTCTGCAACAGAGTTCACCCTTTCTTGTCGTGGCCAAGCGGTTTCTCCTGGGCACTAGTTTCACCGTGCAATAACAGAACAGACTTGACCAGTTACGGCCCTGACCTTTGTGTCAACCCTGGGGTGTCACCTGAACACCCACACCCTACGGTGTGGTCCATTCCGCCCCTGACTGTACTCACAGGGTTGTGACACTAGCCTCGGATGTTCTATTTATAAATTGCTTGCTTGGTCGAGCTCTGGCACAGCTTTTATTATGATGAAGTGACAAGGCTGTCTGTGGTGCACTATCTGCTGGTATTCTTGACACATTTCTGAAGCACTTTGATCTGTTGTTTCTGGATGTAGTTTAATCATGGTCGACTAAGCGTTAATTGGTCTGTAATAAAATATATATATATCTATACACATACATATGCGCGCATACACACACACATACACATATCATCAATTCTTGTTATGCCTAGTGGCATATGAGGCTTCAGAGAGGACTTTCCATGCTTTCCTGTCCTGTGCAATCTTCAGTGCAGTTTTCCATTTCAGAGATGCTGCACTCAGGTCACTTTCCATCGTTTGTCTCCATGTTGTTTTTGGCGCCCTTTTTTTCTTTTTCCTCTGGAATCCATGTGAGAACTGTTTTGGCAGGACATAAGTATTCATTCTCACAACGTGGCCAAGCCATTTCCATCTTCTCTTGGTTATCATACTGTCACACACATATATATAAAAAAAAAGTTTATATATATATATACCAGTGCTGAATCAAAGGTCTTGGGTTCAAATCCGCATTGAAGTGGATTTTTTCAGAGATGGTCTTGGCCCCAGATTGACGCAACCTAAAATGGGGACCAGTCATTGTCCTGGAGTGTAAAGGTGGCTGGCAGTATATTAGCCACATCACCTATGAAATGTCAGTAGGTCTTTCAATATATCGGTCTAGCATAAGACTGAATGAGATCTCTCCCCCACTCAATCTCCGGTGTAAGAAATGTCTATTAGTTACTTTATGTTACCATGTGTCAGATACAACTGGTAGCATGAAATTGGTCCTTTGCTGACACTTTTATTGTATTCTTTGTATAGGAGAACGGCATTGACCTGTTGCTAGATATTCTGACAGACTCCAGCGTGGTGGAGTCAGTCCAGGGAGAAGCCGCTGGTGTTATTGCTCAGATCACCTCTCCGGTTCTGGATCAGAACCAGCAGTTGTGCCGGTTTGCCAAAAGCATGCAGATGATATTGACAGCCTTGTTGGGTTTGTTGCTTATTGTTTCACACTGTTTAGCATGTTTATGTTTGATGTGAGACACAGAAATGTTTACGCCCTGTGGTAGTCACCCTAGCTCGAACTTGTAGCAACCTATTTTCACCTCTCTAAAGGTATCCTAGAAACATGTTTCTTACCAGAGTTGATAAGATCAATGTTTCCTTTAATGTTGGAGCGCGTCTGCTTGAGTCAAACAGCGGCCTGCACACAGTAAGACAGATCTGTAAAATGAATGTACACACAGAACTCATGACCTGGAAAAAAAAGTTTTGTCATGAATGAACAACCACGACATTCTGCCAGAGTTCACAGCTGAAAAATATTTTATCTCTCTCTCTCTCTGTCGCACTCTGTTTGTCTCTTTCTCTTCCACTTCTCTCCACCTCTGTCTTTCTTCCTTTTTATCTGCCTTATTCTTCCCTTTCTCCCATCCCTGTTCACTTTCCCATCCCTCTGTTCACTTTCCCATCCCTCAGGTCACTTTCTCATCCCTCAGTTCACTTTCTCATCCCTCAGTTCACTTTCCCATCCCTCTGTTCACTTTCTCATCCCTCAGGTCACTTTCTCATCCCTCAGTTCACTTTCCCATCCCTCAGTTCACTTTCTCATCCCTCAGTTCACTTTCTCATCCCTCAGTTCACTTTCCCATCCCTCTGTTCACTTTCCCATCCCTCAGTTCACTTTCCCATCCCTCAGTTCACTTTCCCATCCCTCAGTTCACTTTCCCATCCCTCAGTTCACTTTCTCATCCCTCAGTTCACTTTCTCATCCCTCAGTTCACTTTCTCATCCCTCAGTTCACTTTCTCATCCCTCAGTTCACTTTCTCATCCCTCAGTTCACTTTCCCATCCCTCTGTTCACTTTCCCATCCCTCTGTTCACTTTCCCATCCCTCAGTTCACTTTCTCATCCCTCAGTTCACTTTCTCATCCCTCAGTTCACTTTCTCATCCCTCTGTTCACTTTCCCATCCCTCAGGTCACTTTCCCATCCCTCAGGTCACTTTCCCATCCCTCAGGTCACTTTCCCATCCCTCAGTTCACTTTCCCATCCCTCTGTTCACTTTCTCATCCCTCAGTTCACTTTCCCATCCCTCAGGTCACTTTCCCAGCTTTTTCGCCACTTGCTACAATACTGCCCAGGCTTCATGTTGTCTGTGATTTCCATGCCTCCTTGTAGCAAAAATATAACACTGTCGTCTGGAAAGACAGAAAGGTGCCAGCAACAGCAACAACCTCATCTACCACAACTATAAGAATTAGGCAGTCAATGTTCTGCATCCCTGTGATGAAAGGAGGGGTATTAGAGAACACCGTGATGACCGGAACGATCAGTGGCAGAAGAGGTGAAGGCAGACCAAGAGAAACGATGCTTGACGGCCTGAAACAGTGGCATGGAGGAGTATTATCAGTGCCGTTGATTCAAAGTATCAAGGACCGAAATCTGTGGAGAGACAGGTGCCTGTACCTTTGAGCAGGGCACATGATGGTAATGAAGATGTTGACTTCATCTTCAGTTAATATTAGTCGGGGTTCCAACATCGTTGCAGATGGGTCACATCATGTGATAATTATTATATATGTTTATATTGTTATATCCTATGTATATACAGATAGCATCTGAGGCTTAGGCGTTTCAACAGCACATTGTAATGCAGGGATGTCGGGTATGATCCCAGCTGCAGGCGATTTGGCAACATAACACCTTATGCCGGTTTCGAGAGCTGACTTTAGAAATCAGTGGTAAAACTACTAAATATAAATTTGCCTAGAAAAATCACAATAAACAAAAAATGCTGGATTTGGTTCAGCAGTGTCCTGTAAGGGGACACAGCTAACAAAAATACCCTATCACTCATTGACTAGTATGGTGTTTCTGGGCAATGTTATAAACACACACACATATTATATACGTATGCTATACCTTTATATTCTTATATGTCTTCCCTGTATGGGTTCCGGGGCCCTATTATAGGAAAATCAAGAATAGACCCGTTGCCTACGCAAAAGCATTTTGTAAGAGTCGACTAATTGGGAGCTTCCTTCAAAGTCAGAGTGCATCTGCCTGAGAGGTGAGGACCAGCAGTCTGCATACAAATGTAAAACGGATGCACACGCAACACTGAAGTTCTAAAACAGGACTGCAGTCAGAAGTGGATGGACAACCAGAACTTTTCGCCAAAGTTTACAGCTGGTGAACGCGAAGAAGAAAAGAAGATTATATGCCTCATCTACGACAGGACATTCTTCAATAATCTCATCTTATGTCTAATGCCTGCTGAATGTTGCTTTCTAATAATTGACAAGGTGGGATCATATTTAAGTCTTGTTGTTGTTGTCCAGGTTTGTGTGAAAGGACTGAGGGGCACGAGACATTCCTGCTATCTGCTGCTGCCATTGCTAACATCACATTCATAGATCCGTCTGCCTGCGGTGTCCTTCAGGAAATGAAAGCCCCCCAACTGCTTATCAAAGCTTGCATGTGCAGAAAAGCACGATCTCTCTTTGCCAAAGATCAGGTATATCCATGTTTGTTTATTTCATTTTCTTCTTTGTCAGCCCTTTTAAAGGCACATTGTTTTGTAGTTTACAGCTAAGCTGGGATTATGTGCGCTTTTGGGCCCAACACATCTGATTTAAGCAAACCTCTAATTAGTCGCTTTTTACAGTACAATGGTATTCCAGAATTCGTCACGAATCTTTTCCTGAGGGATGACCAATGTTAAAAAGAATGAATATCACAGTTTTTCCCATAGGAATTTACTGAAAATGGTTTCATCCAATGTTTCCCATGTTGGACCCACGCCTCACAGGGAGGGCTATTCGATTTGTTTAGGGCAGCAATTTGATTTTTAGTTGTGGAAATTTAAAAGGGGGGAGGGGGGGGGGAATTCAAAAATGGTCGCATCCAGAGTTTATATTACATAGGGGGCATAAAAATTTTAGAAAGGCTTAGGTGGTTGGGAAACACTGGTTTCATCCATTTCCAGCCTGATTTTTGCCTATCCTTGAGCAGAGAAACAACAGATTTCAACACTTGGGACTGTCCCCTCATCGTCTTTTTCCTCATGTGATGTTTACCTGGCCATGCCAGAGAAGGGATGAATATTGACTTGTCGGTTGAATCAAATTCAATGTCCATTAAAAAAAAACACAATGAATGTCATTCTGTTAACCACAACTTGACAACTGCATTTTAAATGGTGAACATAGAAGAAATGATCTTCCTCATGTTCTTTCCCTCCCAGTCTATTGCTGGATAATTTTTGAAATTTTTGATACATATAACAGTCTATAAATTATTAATATACATATGTATATATAATACTTTTTTTTTCTTATAAATTTTTTTCAGATTGCCACCATTTTAGCCAACATGGCCGCTATCGCAGGATGCCAGGAATGCATTCGCCACTGCGGTGGCCTTGACCTTTTAGTCAGTTTTTTGCACCAGAAGCCTTGTCTGTTGTCAAGCACCGCGGAGAGGTCAGCCTGTGAGCGTGTGCAGCAGAAGGCAGCCATTGCCCTGATGCGTCTCTGCCAGGACACCAGGCTGACCTACAGTGTCATCAGACAGAAAGGTACTGCTTCTGGACTTTGTGCTCTTGTTTTTGAAATGTTCTAAATCAAGAGCATCAACTTTATAGCGTCTGGTTGTGTCCCATATGGCTTGGTCTGTCTACACAGAATATGGCTTGGTCTGTCTACACAGAATATGGCTTGGTCTCTCTACACAGAATATGGCTTGGTCTGTCTACACAGAATATGGCTTGGTCTCTCTACACAGAATATGGCTTGGTCTCTCTACACAGAATATGGCTTGGTCTCTCTACACAGAATATGGCTTGGTCTCTCTACACAGAATATGGCTTGGTCTCTCTACACAGAATATGGCTTGGTCTCTCTACACAGAATATGGCTTGGTCTGTCTACACAGAATGTGGCTTGGTCTGTCTACACAGAATATGGCTTGGTCTCTCTACACAGAATATGGCTTGGTCTGTCTACACAGAATATGGCTTGGTCTGTCTACACAGAATATGGCTTGGTCTCTCTACACAGAATATGGCTTGGTCTCTCTACACAGAATATGGCTTGGTCTCTCTACACAGAATATGGCTTGGTCTCTCTACACAGAATGTGGCTTGGTCTGTCTACACAGAATGTGGCTTGGTCTGTCTACACAGAATGTGGCTTGGTCTCTCTACACAGAATATGGCTTGGTCTGTCTACACAGAATATGGCTTGGTCTCTCTACACAGAATATGGCTTGGTTTCTCTACACAGAATATGGCTTGGTCTCTCTACACAGAATATGGCTTGGTCTCTCTACACAGAATATGGCTTGGTCTCTCTACACAGAATATGGCTTGGTCTCTCTACACAGAATATGGCTTGGTCTCTCTACACAGAATATGGCTTGGTCTCTCTACACAGAATATGGCTTGGTCTCTCTACACAGAATATGACTTGGTCTCTCTACACAGAATATGGCTTGGTCTCTCTACACAGAATATGGCTTGGTCTCTCTACACAGAATATGGCTTGGTCTCTCTACACAGAATGGCTAGCCGGCTGTCAAGATGGTCACAGAAAGCATGAATGACACCTGGGGATTTCTGTAAAAATTGTATTCATGAACTGAACGACTTAGACCTTGCATTAAACCCATGGCCCTTAGAGTGTGCGGCAAAAGGCTCAGGCACAGAGACCCTTTTCTTGTTCCTAACTGTTGATTAAATGGGAAGAAAAGCCGGGAAGTAGCGTAAGACGATTTATAACAAGATCTAAAAAACATTTTCAGCACAGGAATAGATACAGTCCTTCGGAATTGCTTCTTCTTCACGTTCACCGGCTGTAATCTGATGCAGAAATTTCGGTTGTTCATTCATTTCTGGACTTTAATCTTGGTACAGAGCCTTAGTTTTGGATGCACATCTGCTTTACAGATTTGCCTTATTTATGTACTTACTGACTGTTGGTTCCCTGCCTTTCAGGCAGGTGCACATCCCTGATTAGTTGACTCTTAAGACATGCTTTTACCCCCACAGTGGGTTCCCTGAACCCCCATGGGAAGTTGGAGTTACAAGATGTAGAGAAGTATGATCACTGACATTGGCTGGCAAGCACTAAATGAGGATGAATTATTGCCCAGCCATTATTGAATTAGTAAGCTAATAATAAACATATTGTTGTCTTTCTACTTTTTTTTTCTTTCTGTATACCTGTATGTTTTCTGTTAGAGAGGTCTTCCTGGTACTGAGACATTTTTTTTAAACTACACTCAAGTTCTTTACTTCTGCTGTTCCACTAATCCAATGCTTGTTCTGTCCCATACACTGTTTCTGTAGTATGTTAATGTCATTGTTTTTCTTGCAGGCTGTTTGTAGGTAGTCTTGTGACATGACCAAACCTTCTGACTCAGTCTGTGACCAAACCTTCTGACTCAGTCTGTGACCAAACATTCTGACTCAGTCTGTGACCAAACCTTCTGACTCAGTCTATGACCAAACCTTCTGACTCAGTCTATGACCAAACCTTCTGACTCAGTCTATGACTAAACCTTCTGACCCAGTCTATGACCAAACCTTCTGACTCAGTCTATGACCAAACCTTCTGACTCAGTCTATGACCAAACCTTCTGACTCAGTCTATGACCAAACCTTCTGACTCAGTCTATGACCAAAACTTCTGACTCAGTCAGCCGATTGAACTATTTTATAGCAGTACATCTGCCATTATTGTGTGATTTGTCTGCTCATGATCTTTACTCTAAACTCAAACTGCACAGTCAGCCGCCGCAACTACTGAATGTTTACAGCTGATTTTCTGTTGTCCTGCAGGCATTCCAAGATTGATAGAGCTGTGTCGTGACTCACAGGCAAGGAATAACAGTGATGCTGTCTTGGTGGCTTGTTTGGTATGTATTATTCATTATTTTCATTTTTCAAATGCTTCAGTTTGTAGAGTATCTTCGTCCAAAGATGTACGTGCATTTTGCCTGTTTACAGCATGGCTACGAAATTGTCGCCTTTCGGCCGACACATCCAACTTCTACAGGCTTTTTGTTGGCCGGGTTAGCCTTCCTGGGTTTGTAGAATATTGAAAGCGTCATTTCTAAGTCGTAATGAGTGAGTCATTTTATCTCTTGTGACATTGGTTATTCTTATGTATTTACCAGATCTGTCCAGGTTGGGCTCTATCACAGTATAAAGGTGTGTGCAAACAGGACATGAATGATACATTTATTGAATATATTCTTACAAACAGGATACCATTGACTTTTGTGTAGAGAGGGGAATCCAGAAAGGGAGTACTGATAAAGGAGAAGATGATTGCAGATAAGTTGAGTGCAAATTGTCTGAGAAGAGGCATATTGAAGAGATTTGATGGCAACAGTGTTCCTGAAATTCCATGTTTAACTCATGGATAATCTTTCTTCGCCCGAGCAGATCTTGCTAGTGACATCTGCCAGTTTCATGAAGTGTGATTCACATTCTGTAGCACAATGTAACACTGTCATCTGGAAAGATGGAAAGGCGCCAACCAGGCAGGTGCAGGCTGTCAAGATTTTTGGCCATTTTTTAAAGAAGAAATTAACTTGGAGTATGTAATACAAACTGGCAGGTTTATTTGGGAAAAGAGTGAGGGAAAGACAAATAAGCCAGATCTGTGAAATGGATGTGCACTCATGTTCTGGAACAAGAATAAAGTCTGGAGGTTGAGGAACACCCAGAATGTTCCTCCTGAATTTACTGCCGGTGAATGCAGAGAAGAAGAAGATTGTATGTGTTTGTCATCCTATATCATTGATGTCTTGACATCCCCGTGTGGGTTCCGGGGCCCTATTATAGGGAAAACAAGAATAGACCCACTGCCTACCCAAAAGCCGGAGTACATCTGCCTGAGAAGCAAGGAACCAGCAGTCTGCACACAAATGAGTCAGATCTGTAAAACAGTTGCACACGCAACACTCAGGTTTTGGAATAGGACTGCAGTCCAGAAGTTGATGAACAACCAGAACTTTCCGCCAGAGTTTACAGCTGGTGACTGCGAAGAAGAAGATGTCTTGACAAAATGTCTGTTATCATAGAGCTCTAATATGTACTGTCATTGCTTTCTGTTTGTTGTACAGGCTGCGCTGCGTAAAGTCTGTACTCTCTATGGTCGCGATGGCATATCCAGCCTAGACTACCAACAGCTCGTCACGCCACAGCTCATGGACTCATTCCTCATGTGCTCCCACAGTGACGAGAACTTTGTGTGAAGGTGACCCTGTTCGCAGACTTCTCTACATTAAGCTGTACAGTTACCATTACATGATGGTCTCACGTCAGTGTTGATATTGCAGTAAGAAATGACATTATTTAGATAAGACACAATTGCATCTAATAGTTTTAAAAGACAATGTCAGACCCTTCATTTATCAGTAATGAGATATTATTAGACTGGAAACACTGAGCCATACAATAGCAGTCTTGACCATAGAAAAACAGTACAAGACGGGACAGTACATTTTTAAACTATAATTTGACACTATGAAAGTGTTTCATAACACTGATTATGAGCTACTTGATTACGACATTAATTGGTGATATTTATATACTGGGCATAGATCAACCACTAGAAGATTGGGCATCTATTGTTAAAATGTTATGAAAGGCAGATCTTAAAATGTCTTTGAGGCATCCAGTTCTAAATTTACCTAATATTGTTTTATAATTGAAATGTTTAATATTATAAAGTGTAGATCATATGGATAGTTTAGGTATAATATATATTCTTAAATAATTAAGAAGCTTAGATTATGCCAGCTTGTGGCTTCAGTACTTCATATTTTTAGTGTCATCTTGCTTTTTTTTTTTTTTTAAGTGGCTGGAGATAATTGTGAACCATATTCACAAGAAGGCACGAACCGGGCACATTTGTCTGTCTCCACTTTTAAATTTTCACTCTTCTTGTTTATTAATTACACCCCCATCATATTTTGCAAACAATATTTCCAAGTGTATTTAAATTATTTTATTTTTTTATTTTAGTGGCCTGTGTAAAATGGGGTTTTTTTTTTTTTTTTTTTTAAAGGATTTTTTCTGTAATTTCTAGGTTTGGTCTTTTTCTAAAGGGTTTTTGAGGTGATTATCTTGGTATTCTTAGTTTCAGCTTCAGAGCAAACAAATCACCCCATAGTTGCTCTGCTCTTGTGACAACGAAAAACAGAATGTTCATCGCAGTCCCTTGTGGAAAGATTACTGCTGTCTCAGCATATGCACTAGCATACACACGCATTAAAAATCATACAGTAGCCATCAAAAGTGCTAACACAAACAGTTTGACATTGGAATTGCAGTTCATCATCGATGGTAGCAAAAGTTACCAACAAATCAGCAGATTCACACGCGATCATGTTTTAATCACATAAGGGCACCACCACAATTGCGACGACAGGCCACACGCCATTTACGAATCTACAATCCACAATAACACGTTGGTCACAGTCGAAAAACATTTCAAATGAAATCTGCAGCTCACAGTGTCGCGCCATGCACTCAACTCAGTAGCTGGGGGACAAAACTATTTGCCACGACTCAAAACAATGACCATGCCTAGCGTCCATTTTGACGGGAAGTCCTTTTGAGTTGAAAGGGTTAAAGATGCTTCAGACTTTTAAGTTTTTATAGTTAAGGTGGTTACTGGTGTGCTCTCTATCTAAAGAATTTGAGAATTAGCTCCCCTCCCCCCCCCCCCCCCTCTTTTTTTTTTAAATTTCATTAAAATGTGTCCTGTGTGTATGTACATATACTACAAACTTTGCACTATATATTAAATAAATGAATCCGGGAACAAAGATTTACTAAGCGCCAGACCAGAAAATCTACAAGCAAAACGACAGCTGTGCTGGAACGTTATCGCAAAAGTCTACTTGGATGTTGCAGCTAGAATACTTTTATCAGCGCACTAGGACAAACAAAAATCTGATAACAACTGCAATAAAAACACAACAGAACAATTGCTTGGCTTTTTGCAGTGTGGGTTCAGGAATTGTGACAATCCTGGGGCACAAAAAATAAAATTGGTCTCATAGTCCAAGAGAACATGTTTGTCCATTGTTGCCAGATAGGACCATGTTGTCATATGTCTGTTACCGAGTGAGGTTTGATTAAGGGTGGTTTATTAGATTAGATTTGTTACACTTAGGGCAGGAGAGTGCTGCCAGTCATAGGGCAGGAGAGTGCTGCCAGTCATAGGGCAGGAGAGTGCTGCCAGTCATAGGGCAGGAGAGTGCTGCCAGTCATAGGGCAGGAGAGTGCTGCCAGTCATAGGGCAGGAGAGTGCTGCCAGTCATAGGGCAGGAGAGTGCTGCCAGTCCAGAGGCTGCCAGTCATAGGGCAGGAGAGTGCTGCCAGTCATAGGGCAGGAGAGTGCTGCCAGTCATAGGGCAGAAGAGTGCTGCCAGTCATAGGGCAGGAGAGTGCTGCCAGTCATAGGGCAGGAGAGTGCTGCCATTCATAGGGCAGGAGAGTGCTGCCAGTCATAGGGCAGGAGAGTGCTGCCAGTCATAGATTAGATTTAAAGTGACCAGTGGTGAAGCCAGATTTCTGTAGTATATTGTGACCATGTGTAAGAATGTGCACGCGCGTGCGCACACATACACACACACATACATATATATATATATAGATGTGAGTGTTTCATTTATGCAAAATCAGCAATTGCCCAACGAAAGGGGAGTAAAAAAATTTGAACAGTGGAGAAATATCACTTGCTATCAGAATTACAGGTGTATATCACACACGCCTTAGAAATAACGAAACAATACGGTTGTCTCTGGGGGTAAAATATTATGTGTGTATCAGTGATATAAATTTGGCATTCCTGTACAAAATGTCTAATGAAAACAGTGCAAAAAATGTCACTTATATGTCGAAGTTACAGCTAAAGATTGCACAAGCCTTACTTCTATCTGACATTTCCTTTAACCTGTAGCCTTCTTTTGGAAGCTAAGAATACTCATTTTAAAAAGCCACATATCAAATAGAAACAATGGTTCTTATGTGTATTGTAATTTGAGCAGTATTTTATGACAGTTGATATATATTTGTACATATTGCTCTCAGTATTTATGTTTTACTATTACCGAGATCTGTTCGCGTTGTGGTACAGAATATGTTTTTGACCTGGTGGTCAAGTATTTTCAGAAGATGTTGGATGTGTCAGTTGAGAAGTGCAAGATTCACAAACACAAAATACTTACATATCTAAAGAAAAATTTTGGACAAATGAAGAAGGAGGGAAAAAAACACAATTAGGCTATGTAAATTTTGGAAGTTCTTTCTCTACCAGAAGATTTTCAGGAGATTACTAAGAGAGGAAAAGACAGCTGTGAAAATTAATGGGTTTTTTGTTTTTCAAAAGACCGAATAATCGTAGAAGACACCAGTGGTGAAGCCAGATTTCCTTAAGTATGTTGTGACCAAATGTAAGAAGTAAAATAATTCGGTATGCTTTGTTGAAATTTGTAGAGGAAGGCAAATGACACCTCATGTTTTTTGGGGGGGGGGGGGGGGGGGCGTCAGAGAGTTAGCAAATCTTGATCTAATATTGTGCTGCAGAAGTCAACAGCCTCCAACCTCTAGAGGTTACTTGTCTGCCTGCAGTTTGTATTTAAGTTTCTACTATCTGCAAGCATTTTGCTAAACAATGTATTCTTTTAAATTGATTGCCACTTTTTACCACTTGTGTTCTTTTATGATCATTTGCTACCTTCACACAAGATATTTTATTGTTATTGTTTTATGTGTATGAGGAGTACTGCCAAGGAACGAGCACTTGAGTTTGTAAAAATATATGTTTATACAGAGGGGTATTTTTGCATTGTATTGTATCGATGTAAAGTTATGGTTTTTGCATTGGATTATGTTTATCATAGTGGGGAATTTTCATATTGGGTTGTGCTTATTATGCAGAGTGCGATATTTTTACGAAGAATTGTGCTTATTATGTAAATTTGCAATTTCTGTATTAGATTTTGTTTACTGTGTACATTTGGAATGTTAACATTGAAGTTTGCTTGTTAGGTTGAGGGGAGGGGGGGGGGGGGGGGGTTGCATTATTAATTACAGCCGAAAGGTTTGCATTTAGCCAAGTTCATATTTATGTAGAGTTGGAATTTTTGTGTGGGGGGGGGTGGAGTTTTTTGTGGAGACTTTTTGCGTTTAGCTTTTGTTTAGGGGTAAAATTTGTGTATTGGGTTGAGTTTGTTACGCTTCTTCATTGATGAGTTCATTGGCTTACAGGCAAAACTGTGTTTGCAGATGTTTCTGTAACCTCACACATGTTGTTTGATCTAAGGACCTATAACTTATGAACACCAACATGGGACCTAATTTTTGTTTTGTTTCTGTTATCAGAGTAAGCTACACTACCTCAAGGTCAGAGAAGATTTAAATATTTATCGAGTTCCCTGGTTGTAAAATCATACATGTTTGGATTTGTACAACTATTCAAATTAGAGACAGACAGTTCAGATTCTAACCCCTTTCTGTCATGCACTGTTCAGATATTTAGTACCATGTTTCTTACAAATATCGTCAATAAATTTGTAACAAATGTGCCAAATGTTGTCAAGGCGTATACAAGTGATGTAATTCTTGCAAATATTTAACCATCATTGATTTTTTTTCATATTCTGATATGCAGATAGATCGGCACTGTGGAAAAACATGCCTCGTTGCACGACAGTTACAGAACTCAATAGTTTGGCTCTGATCCTTATTTATGCTTAAAGTTTTCTATGTTTTATTTTGTTTAATTCACAACCAAAGATTTGTTTTGCTTCACTTGTTTTTTTTCTGAGCACACAGGTAATTCTAAGGGCCTTGAGTTTACAATTTTCCAACACTACTTACAGAAACAAGTAATTGCTATTAAATCAAATCCTGTAGTTATAATTGCATATGTTTTTGCTTGTTTTATTAATTGCGCTGTTGATGATTTGTAATTCTTATAAAATATGTTTTGAACAAATGGTTATTGTTTTATTCTGTGATGGTCTTCCATGTTTCTATGGCTGATAAAATAAAGAAATAATAGTGACAGTTTAACTAACTTGCATGTTGCAAGAGATGGTCAGCAAGGGTTGGCCTAACATTGCAAATGGTTTGGCAAGTTGGCTCAGAGATAAGGCTGTATTGGATGATAAAGGATAGAAGAATGTGTTTTTAACCTTTGTTATTTGTGTTGCAACCCCTTTTTTAGAATAGTCCCAGT